TTTATGGTTTTCTATAAGAGACTCCACATAGGCTAGTATTTCATTTGCGCTTTACAAGAATATTATAAGACACGTGGTAATATTTCCATTTTCCATATACAGAATTGCAGATGTAGTTTAAGTCACTTGGCCAAAGTGCTAATAAGTGGCAGTCAAAGAAAATTGAAACCCATGTCTCTTTGTTTCCAAGTCCCATGCTCTTAACCACTGTGTACATTACCTTCCAATATATTTTTATTGATTAAGAATGAGTGTAGGCCCGGTGCAGTGGCTCACGTCTCTAATCCCAGTACTTTGGGACAATGAGGGAGGCAGATCACAAGGTCAAGAGATCCAGACCATCCTGGCCAACATGGTGAAACCCCGTCTCTACTAAAAAAAATACAAAAATTAGCTGGGCGTGGTGGTGTGTAGTCCCAGCTACTCGGGAGGCTGAGGCAGGAGAACTGCTTGAACCTGGGAGGCAGAGGTTGCAGTGAGCCGAGATCAGGCCACTGCACTCCAGCCTGGTGCCTGGCGACACCACAAGACTCTGTCTCCAAATAAGAAAGAATGAGTGCAGGAGCCCAATTCATAATTGCAAAGATATGGAACCAACCTACCACTGACAAATGAGTGGATAAAAAAATGTGATATATATACATAATGGAATACTATTTGGCCGTAAAAAGGAATAAAATAATGTCTTTGGCAGTAACTTGGATGAAGCTAGAGGCCATTATTCTAAGAGAAGTAACTCAGGAATGGAAAACCAAACACCATATGTTCCCACTTATAAATGGGAGCTAACCTATGAATACGCAAAGGCATACGGAATGATATAATGGACTCTGGAGACAGAAAGGGACACTAGTCTGGTGACAATTGCACTAAAATCTCAGAATTAACCACTATATAATTCATCTATGTAAACAAAAACCCCTTGTAGCCCAAAAGCTATTAAAATAAAAATATATTTAAAAAATTAAAAAGAAAGCAATAGTACAATTTTAAAAGAGAATGAGTAGAAGATGTTAACCAAGGCTTCATTATAATTTATGTGGTCCCTAAACAGCTTTCTCGTCATGTGTCCCTTCCTTCATTAAGAAATACTTAAAATCGTGTTAATATAAAGACTACTATAAGCAAGTATAAGCAAGACTGGATTCATTATAATACATTCATTAATATTATATTCATTTTTCCTCAAATTTTAAAAGAAATTAAAATTAGGACATGCGTGGTGGCTCACTCCTGTAATCCCAGCACTTTGGGAGGCCAAGGCAGGCAGATAACCAGAGGTCGGGAGTTTGAGACCCCCTGACCAACATGGAGAAACCCCATCTCTACTGAAAAAAAAACAAAATTAGTGGGACGTGGTGGCATGTGCCTATGATCCCAGCTACTTGGGAAGCTGAGGCAGGATAATCACTTGAGCCCAGGAGGTGGAGGTTGCAGTGAGCTGAGATTGTGCCATTGCACTCCAGCATGGCCAATAAGAGTGAAACTCTGTCAGAAAGAAAGAATAAAGAAAGAGAGAAAGAGAGAGGGAGGAAGGAAGGGAGGGAGGGAGGGAGGGAGGGAGGGAGGGAGGGAGGGAGGGAGGAAGGAAGGAAGGAAGGAAGGAAGGAAGGAAAGAAGGAAGGTAAGAAGGAAGGAAGGAAAGAAAGAAGGAGAAATTGAAACATTTCTATGGGTCCCTAAAAGAATTCTGGTTCTAAGTAGGATGACTAGTACACCTGATAGATAACTAGGTCTCAGCATCAAATTGCACACAAAAATCAAACAAGCAATAGCAAAGAAAAGAAAGAGAGACAGAGAGAAAAAAACGTTTTGATGTCATATTTTTTAAAGCCAAAGAAATAATCTTTCTTATTTTATAAAAAGTAAAGGACACAGGGCAGTAGGAGGTAACTGTAACCCATGGGGGTTGCTTTAAGGTGAAGAGTAGATTATACTCTACGTGGGGTGCTCAGCATCTCAGTTGAAGATGTTGAAAGAAAGGATACCAGGGCAAGAATTAAACCTGTCTCCTGAAGGAAGCAGGTAAGGCTTTCGTGCTCAACTGTATTCAGCTCTCCTGGAAAGGAGAGTTCACATGAGTAGTTTTGAGATCCTGCTTCGTGGGATCCACGTGGACTGGGCTATAACTGCTTCATTCCTCTCAAGCTGAGATGCCCAGTAGCAGAGGGGCAGGCCTCAGAAGTCAAGTCCCTGGAGACAGCATGGAGTAATGAAAACAGTAGTTTTTGGATCTGGTACAACCTTCAGCCTCTCTACCCAGTAACTGTGTGGTTTTGGAGGAACTAGGTTTGTGGTGCCTTATCACAGTTTTCTCTTGCAGTTTTCTTATCTGTAAAATGAGGGCCTTGTGGCAAAGATAGTGCTCATCATATAGCCATATGCTCCCCTTCCAATTCCCTGTCAAAGGCTGGCCAATGAGCTGGAAATAGAGGTGACATGTTTCCAGTTCAGGGTAAGGCAGTAAAAAGCTGGTGTATCTCCATATGTAACTCTTCTCCCACAGCAAATCTGGAAGGCAAATGTGCAAGACAGCATAGCTAAAAGTGATAAATGGCCCAAATTTATAAGAGGAGGAGAGATGCTTGAAGGAGAGCATGCAGGTGGGCCACCAGACCCACAATGAACTTTAAGTCAGAGTGAAATAATCTTCTGGTTTGGGGTTACATGTTACTGCAGCATTCCTTAGCTTCTTCTGACTAGTAGAGACTTAATGCCAACTTGACCAAATTGTGAGAATGAAATGAAAGGGTGTATGGAAAGCATCACAAACCTGTCTGGAAGAGAGAATTCACTCAGTAAACATTTTTTTTCCATCTCAACTTTCAAAAACTGCATTTTGCCCCAAAGGATTAATCATTGCCCAAGAACTACTTTCAGATAAGACCCCTTTCTGACAATATTTTAGTGTTGGGACTAGACATAGAATTCTGAAAAAGATGAAGGTTTTACACAGCCTCATCGACAGAGGCCTTCAGGGTTCAAACAGGCTTCTGCTCCTTACAGAACACGGTACAGACACTTTGCAGAGCCTAACTCAACCCAACTCCTTTCCCCTGGAGTGTAGAAAGATGTAGGTGGGGGAAAGTAGAGAGACAGTTTTCTTGGCACTGTGTTTTACATTTTTGTTTAGGTGTCTTGTTGCCAAAAGGCTTACAAAAGTGGACTCAGGAACATTACCCAGAAGTTTGAGTGCAGGCTTTCTGCAACCCAAAGAAGCAGCATGCTCATGAATACTACCCTGCCTACAATCTCAGCATCCTGTGATTCAAGACTCTTACAAATGACTTAGAAGAATACTGTATATTAGAGAAGAGAAGTTGAGGCCCAAAGTGAGGAAGGGCTTGTCCCAGGGCCTCCTGCTGGGAGTGGCTAAATGTTAACATTTCCCTTGCCTCTCAGAGCTCCAGATTGGCCAGCCTCTCATCCAGGCACCTTCTCCTTATGCCCCCTGCCTGAATGGGAGCTGTCAAAAATGAACACTAAAATCAGGCTTGGCAAGCTTTTCTGGCATCCATTTCACCATGATTTCTCTAAGTGCACATTGGATTGATGTAGCTATTAAAAGTTAGCCCTACTTGGCAATCAGACAGAAAAGCTATAATCACCCCAGGCATTTCCAAGGGACCTTTCAAAGAACATCATTAATTCTGAATAAAGCTCTCCCTTACCAACACTTTCCAATTATAGTCTTGACATTCCTATTTTATGCTGCAAAATTCCTCTGTCATTTAATGAAGAAGAAGAAAAAAAAAGCCTACTTTTAAAATCACATGTATTTGGGAGCCTAAGTGTCTTAAATTTCCAAAATTAAAACAAAACCAACAGCAAAAAACTGTCCTTGTCTCTTTTTCCTCTTATATGTACCCCTCCCCTCATCATCCATGTATTATATTTGGAAAGGGCAATAAAACCGGTTAATCTATAGGACTGGGAGCTTGTTACCTGAAATACCTGAGACCCTCAAAAAAGAAAGCTGAGGCTTTCGGAGTGAGAATGATGCTGAGCACCTATGAGATCCTAGCCAAAAGGCAGAAAGCTCCAGACAGAAAAACACATACGGTGAGAGAAGATCTGCCAATTGCAATTTTGCTCATCTCATTACATTTCCAGTGTTACATTCCTGCTCCTGTTGATTCCCTTCTTTCTGCAGCCAGTCTGCCACCCAGTGTGTGCCAGCCACTGTGCTAGAGCTTTCCATTCTTCATCTCATGTGCTCCTCACCAAGAGTCCTATGAAGTAGGAATGAACATGTTTTAAAATGAAGAAATGAGACCCACAGGTATTAAGCAACTGTCCTAATGTCCCAAGCTGGGATTTGAATCCACTGATCTTTCCTAAATCCTAGAGGGTAGCTCTGGGGTTGAGCTAAGGAAAGCAAAGTGACACCGATTATTATATTTTAAAATCCTCACTTTTCCCCTTGGCAGGGTGCTGGCTAATAGAGTTGGGGATAGACTGAATTGCAGAGGATGGAGACGGTGGAGACAGAAAATAAGGCGTAATTGGCCACAGGAATTTCTGCAGGACAAATTCCCAGTCCACTGCATCCCCTCTAGGTCTAGTTGGTACCAGGAAGTCAGGGGCTCCAGGAGTCACATGGACAGGAGAACTTCAGGGGAAAAACAAGATAGTGCAGGTAACAAGATGTGCCCTCAGTGCTACTGAGACAGGCTGAACCTACAAGCCCCTCCGGTCTTAGCATGTGTCGTGGGTAGGTGTCCTAGATTGGGCTCCCTAGTGTGCAGGTGGTGAAACCCTTTTTTTCTGCACGTACCAAGTAGGCAGTTGGCGAACCCCTCCCTTGCGTGCCAGACGCACCGGTGATGAGCTCCTCGGTTTGCACAGAACTGATGGCAAACTTTTCCTTGTGCGCTGGTGGACAATTTTTAGGCGCGCGCTCCAACCGTACAAGCTTCCACCCACTCTCCCATTCGCCAAGCTGCCTCTTTCTCCAATAGCCCCATCCCCAAAGCAACATTCCGAAGCCCGCCCCTCACCTTCGTGGTGGCCTGCAACGGCAGCACAGCTCTCCGGCGGCGGCCGAAACGAAACTTGGCCGCCTTGTAGATCTTCCAGTAGACGAATAGCACCACGCCAAGCGGCAGGTAGAAGGCGCCGCAGGTGGAGAAGACGGCATAGGAGGGTTCCTGGCTCACCTGGCAGCGCTGGAGCCGAGCGTCGTACACCTCGCCCCAGCCAAAAAGCAGCGGCGCGAGCGCGATGAGCGCAGACAGCCCCCAGGTGAGCGCGATCATGAGCGCCGAGGCGCGGCGGCGGGTGCGCAGCGTGTACTGCAGGTGGCGCGTGATGGTCCAGTAGCGGTCCAGGGCGATGGCCGCCACGTTCCAGATGCTGGCCGTGCAGCACAGCACGTCGAAGGAGATCCACACGTGGCACAGGCTCCGGCCCAGCAGCCAACGTCGCCCGGCCGACAGCTCACTCACCAGGCTCAGTGGCATCACCAGCGCTGCCACTAGTACGTCCGAGACGGCCGTCGAGGCCACCAAGTTATGCGGCACGCGATGGAAGGCACGGACCCGCAGGATGGTGACCAGAACCAGCAGGTTCCACAGGAAAGTGGCGGCGATCAGCAGCACTAGCAGCGTCACCACAAGCACCGTGAAGACAGAGAAGGGAGGCTCCCGACCCTGCCGGACGGCACTAACCGGGGTCGAACTGAGGATCCCGCTTGGGCTTGGGCTACTGCTGCAGATCTCGGGTCCCAGGGCAAGGGCAATGCCGGCGGTGGCCACTGAGAGGTTAGCGGCTTCCATGGCGCGCAGGATCGCGGCTCCAGGGCAGGGGACGCGCGAGTGGTCAGTGAGCTCGGCCTGGACCGTGCAGGTGGGGGCGTAGAGGAGGTACTGCCTGCCAGGGGAGGGGAGGAGAGGGGTCCAGGTCGTCCTACCCTGGTCCCTCCTGCGGGCAGCAGCCCCCGTTTGGCACATATGCCTGCAGCCCCCGTAGACCCTCTTTTCCAGTAGAAAGGGAATAAGAGAGCAGGACCCCTCAGTCCAGCTCCGCCCTGTTCGATAGTCCCTCTCACCACCTCTCTTAGCGGTCCCGGGTGCCTCCGGCTGTCATGGGGCTGGGAATCAGCGCAGCCCAGTGACCGAGCGCCGCGCTTAGAGAGTTGCCCCCTCCACCACCCAGCGGCAGCGGGAGACCAGCTGCACCTGGAGTGGGCGGGGTTGGGCGGAAGGAAGGGGTGGCTGGAGAACCGACCAATAGAAGCCGGGCCTTCAACGCTGTCTCCGCTAGTCTCCCTGCCTCCGCCAAGCAGAAAGAACCCTAACTGCAGTAGCCTCTGGGAAAGGTTTACAACTGGTTTACAATGGGGAGAAAGTCCCTTGCCGCCACCTCCGTGGATACCTGGCACCTGCTGGCGGCCCGGTTTGACACTGGGAAACAAGGGTCCCGCCCCGTCCCAGCCCAGAGGGGTTCTGGTTTCCTGGAATCTCGATCCTACCTATACCCGAAATAGGAATCCAGGTATTGGGATATATAAAACAGAAAGCTCCTAAGCTCATCCCCATCCTGCCGCTTCATTTCCAGCAGGTGTGTCCGGCCAGGGCTTGGTGGCGCCTTGAGAAGTTCACTCCCTGGCTCTAAGCGGAAAGAACGCGCGCTTCTGAGCAATCTGGCAGAGATCTGGAAGCGGGACCCTTTAAACCATCATCTTCGCCAGCTCTAACCTCTCCCATCAGGTCCCCACCCCCAACATACCACACGCTCCACCCCGCCCTGTCCTTTCCGTTTCTAACATTCCTGACTCTCTGTCTTCCAGTTCTTCATATTCACGTTCAAACTGGAGTTCTTTTTGTTAAGCCTTGGGCAAAAGTAGGAACCAATTAGAAAAGTGGAATTCCCATCAGCCTCTCACACTTAAAAAATAGTTCAATCATAATTAACTCAATCTAAATCTGTGTTACTTGTTCCTGGGAGTAGAACAGAAACACAACACAGAGCCCAAACCGCCCCTTCTCCTGTCAAGGTGAGAAGGGTTAGACCTCAAGCAGGCTGACCTGGCTGGTGCCTGAATGACCGACCCGGGAATGCCGGAGGAAGGGGACATGAAACACTCAAGGTGCAAACCCCAAGAAGCAAGTTTGGACTTCATCATGGAGAAAGCTAGAATTGAGAAGATTTTGAGAAAATTGACCTGATGAAGAGGAATTTGTTAGGAAAAAAGGAAGACTAGCCTTTGAAATATGTTTACAATCTCTCTCCATTTTATTAAACAAATATAAGAGCAAAGAATATTAGAAATATAAAAACATTCATATTGCACTAGCTAGATGCATGACATGTTTTTATTCTCTTTTGTCCCTATCCACATACATTTTTATGGGTAAAAATCAATTTTTTATTTTGCAGATTTCTGTTAGCACTTTTCATGTTACTAGATATTGTCTTCATAATTCCACTTTTTATAGGGTACCATTTATCAGTTGGGAGACTCTGAGCAACTTAGGGTTTCTGAGACTCACCTTCCTTATCTTAAAAGTGGGGATAATTATACTTGCCACGAAATCATTGTAAAACTAGAGTTAGAGCCAGTAGCACAGGATTAAGTGTTCAATAAGTGATAACTGGTCCTGCTCTTTCTAACTTCTAATCTAAACCTTAGATTCACTTATCTTCTGATCTTTGAGGTAGATCAGATTTTTAGATAGTTTTATTCTCTAAAATATTTGTAGCAACAAAACACTTTCTCCACTTTATTTCAGTTGATCCTACCTACAATCATTTTAGGCACCATTCTCATTTGCAGAAGAAATGAGAGATTTGTTGACTTGCTGCTATGGACATAATTGTGTTGCCCAGATTCATATATTTAAGCCCTAATCCCCATTGTGCCTGTATTTGGAGAGAGGACCTACAAAGAGGTAATAAGGTTGACTGAGGTCATAAGGGTGGGGCCCCGATTTGATAGGATTTGTGTCATTATAAGAGGCACCAGAGACCTCACTCTATCTCTCCTTATCATGTGAAGACACAGTGAAGAGGATTCCGCCCACAAGCCAGGAAGAGGGTACTCACCAGAAAATGAATCTGTTGGCAACTCGATCTTGGATTTCCCAGCCCCTTAAACCGTGAGAAATACATTTCTGTTGTTTAAGCCACCCAGTCTAAGTTGTGTGTTATAGCAGTCTGAACAGACCGAGACACTTGCCTTGAGACTGATAGCTTGGACTCAGCTCTCTGACCCCCATTTCCCACCCCTCTATCCAACCACACTGTACTTCCTTTCTTTCCATAGCTCTTCACAGAAGTGACATCATATTATTATTTAATTCCCTTTCCATTGTCTAAATGACTTTCCCCACTAAAGTGTAAGCTCCTCTTGGGCAGGGAATTTGTTCACTGCAATATCCTTAATATCTTGTTCTGTGCCAGGCACATGGTAGGTCACTCAATACATTGGAATGAGTTAAATAAATAAATGAGGCATTGTTGGGAGACATAGTTCATAGGCCCTGAGCATCCCCTGAACCTTCTCCTTGTGGGTGCCAAGAAGGAAAGGCCCTGACTGCTCATGTCCTAGGCCATTCCTGAGTGTTATATTTGTAGCAAGCGACCTTAAACTCTCTCCTGGGCAAGGGGCAGGCTTACTTCCATTGACTGTCAAAGTGGTGAATCCCAAGCTCAGTGTTTCTCTCTGTGACCCTGCTCACTACTGGGCAGGCATGGGCCCTTTCTATCACCTACATGAGATTTGGGAAGCATGGAGAGCTGTCACAAAGATGAAGTTCTGGCTATGGCCTTTGCCTAGAATATTAAAGTTTGTTGTCTCTGACTCAGGAGTCTCATGTCTTCTGCCGGCATCTACGAAATTGTAACAGTGTAGCTTCTTAGCTTGAAAGTAGAGTAAAATCTCAACCCTGCACAGTACATGACAGGCAGTTTACTGGTTTTTAAAAAATTACAGTTAGCAACTTTTCTTTCTTTGGGTTTTTTTTTTTTTTTTTTAGATATTTGACATCTCAAAAATGATTGACAAAATATGGTTTTTGTTTGAGATGGAGTCTCCCTCTGTCACCCTGGCTGGAGCACAGTGGCATCATCTTAGCTCACTGCAGCCTCCATCTCTTGGGTTCAGGTGATTCTTCTGCCTCAGTCTCCTACATAGCTGGGATTACAGCCATGCACCATCATGCTGGGCTAATGTTTGTATTTTTAGGGGAGATGGGGTTTTACCATGTTGGCCAGGCTGGTCTTGAACTGCTGACCTCAAGTAATCTGCCTACCTAGTCCTCCCAAAGTACTGGGATTGTAGGCATTCTGCCTAGATTTATTTTCTTGATATATTTTCTCCCAAATTTAATTACTGAGTTAAAACATAGGAACAGTGCAACTTCCTTTTATGCATTTTCAAATTGTACCTCAGAAAAATGTAATGGTGTCAGTTTTCTTATCCCTGGCTTTGGAGAAACAAGAAAAAACCGGAAAGCCTTGCTAAAGCAAATTCTTTAACATTAAAAACGATGTTTAATTGGTGTATAATGATGTATTTTAATTGTTTGATTTTCTTTTTTTTTTTTTTTTTTGAGACAGAGTTTCACTCTTGTTGCCCAGGCTGGAGTGCAATGGCATGATCTCGGTTCACTGCAACCTCCCCGAAACCTGGGTACAAGCAATTCTCCTGCTTCAGCTTCCCGAATAGCTGGGATTAGAGGCATGTGCCAACTCGTCCGGCTAGTTTTTGTATTTTTAGTAGAGATGGGGTTTCGACACATTGGACAGGCTGATCTCAACCTCCTCACCTCAGGTGATCCACCTGCCTCAGCTTCTCAAAGTGCTAGGATTATAGGTGTGAGCCACTGCACCCAGCTTGATTTGCATTTTTAATGGATAAAAATGCTACGTTTTTCCATATGGTGTTTATTATGCATTCTTGTGTATTATGTATTATTTATTTTGTGTATTATTTATTATGTATTCTTGTGTAAAAACTGTTCATTTACTTTAAACTACTTTATAAAGTAATATGAGTGCTGATTTTATGACTATTTATCAACTTTAATGCATTTAGAGAGCATATTTTCATCCATTTCATCAGCATATTTAATGCATTTAGAGAGCATATTTACATCCTTTTTTTGTCACATAATTTTTCTGTATTACTCTTTGTGTTTATTACATTTGTTGAATAAATTTTTTACATAATAAAACACATTAATTCTTGTCTCCATTAATATCTTCAACTCACTCAGTAATTAAAAATCACTTTGCTGTCCTCCATTTGTGTTATTAAAGTTTATGACTAGATTAAAAGTGTAATTCTTTGATCCCCCTGAGGTGTTGTTGGTGCAGGAGATGGTGACTCAGCCTTCTCAGCTGTATGCTGTGTACAGTCTTATCCAGGGAATGGCCTGATTACTGAGGGCAAGACATCTTTGTCATACGAAGACAGGTGTAATACTGTCTTGATCCCAGAGGCTCTTACATTTATCACAGAATAAAATCTATTTACCGAATAACCATGATGCAGCAAAATGTGCTAACAGTTGATTAGCAGTACCAACAAGGGTTTCTGGCCTTGCTGGGGAAAGAAATCACCTCCAATGAGGAGGATCAGAGACAGCCTCTGAGGGAGGCAGCTTTTGATCCGAACCTTAAATATGGGGAAGATTTTCATCAGCAAGTGTGGGGAGAAGAGGAAGGAGGCATACCTGGCTGAGCAAATGCCTGGAGGTGAAAGGACAACAGCAAAACAAAAACACAAGAATAATCAGGGAGTACCCAGTGTTGACCAGATGGCTATTCATTCACTTCAGGCTTGTCAATTTTTAATTTTAAAGAAAGTGTAGGTAGAACATTTCTATCATTTTCACTCAGCTGATTCTTTGCCTTTAGTAATTCCATGTATCTCCCATGGTTACCTTTTTTGCTGTGATTAAAAAACATTCATTCTTTGATATTATTTCCCTTGTGTGTTCTTCCAGATGATTTTTAATATTGTTTTATCAGGTTTTTTTTTTCTATTTGCTCATCAAGGCTGGGACCAAGTGTTACCCCTTCTGAGAAGGTGGTTCCTACATCTGCCCCCACCTCAGTCCTCACTGGTGCCCCTGCTCTGACTGGCTCCAGAAGCCAGTGCTGACACAGGGACGAATTTCTGCCTCTCTACTAGATGGCAGGCTCCCTGAGGATATGGTGGGGCACTGAGTGTCTGTTAGCTTTCCCTGCCATGTACCCCACTTCCACCTCACCCAAGGCCTGGCTTAGGCTTAATAAACTCGTATGAAGGAATGAACAAATGAGGAAAGATATGAAGAGAACCAAGAACCAGCTGAGAGTGGAGAACAGTTGAAGGAGTTTAAGGATATCAGAGAAGACATCTGGTCTTAGAAGCTATCCAAGCATAAAGCCAAGTGGAATTAAGGAAACAGCACAAAAGAAGGGAGGACATATACAGAGTTTTGGTTCTTTTTAAGGGTTTGTAGTCAGGGAATATGTTAGGGAGTCTTCCTAACGTCTGGACAAACTCCTGTATCACAGCCCAAACATCACCTCCTTAGAATGGTCTAATTCATTGGTTCTCAAACTTCAGCAGACATCAGAGTCACCTGGGGAGCTTGTTAAAGCAGATTGCTGAAGCTGTTGCAACGAACTGAGCACAGAAACTCAACACCAGAACAAAAGTATGCCAAATTGCAGGGTTTATTGCCGGCGACCATGGAGGACTCACGTCTCTCCAACCCGTGGCAGAGAAAGAAGGGTGACAAGACCTTTTTATACCCATAAAATCATCTTGGGGGTGAGGGGCTTCAGACATTCCGAGGGCCAGTGGATTCAGATCACCTTCTGGGCGGAGATGGGGGTGAGGGGGTTCCGGACATTTCGAAGGCCAGGGGACTATTCTGATTGTCATTTAAGATGCTAAGATTAGCATTTGTTTACACATCGTCTGGGTAGGGGTGGGATCCATAGATTTTCAGTTGCTTGGCGCCACGATGGAATTATCTGGGGGTGCTTACTCTGGGAAACAAAGGCCAGCAATTCTGGCAGATAAGAGAAGGTATGCAGCTTTACCTCTTTGCATCCTGCAAATAATCTAGCAGTTTACAGAAACCAAGGTTAGCAGTCCTTGTGAGGAGAATGGAAACATTTTTGTCTTTTATAAGATGGCAATGTACAGGTTCCAACTCTAAGTTAGCTATATCACAAAGCCATCCCAGAATCATGTCTGGGCTGTAATGTGATGAGTTCCCCATCAGATTACTTAAGGGTATGTATCTGCTGCCTGAACCCTAAAGGCTAGGCACAGTCCCATCTCTCTCTCTCTCTCTGTCTCTCTCTCTCTCTGTCTCTGTCTCTGTCTCTGTCTCTGTCTCTCTCTCTCTCTCTCTCTTTCTCCTCTCTCTCTCTCTCTTTCTCCTCTCTCTCTCTCTCTCACACACACACACACACACACACACACACACACACACGGCAAGGAGCCAGAAAATTAGCTTAAAAACAGCTTAGAGATGGGAGATGGCACATATCTCTAGAGCTGCACTGCTGCTGCCCAGCAATCTCTTGTATGCAACTCCTAATAAACTCATCTACTAGCTAAGCTGTACTTGTTTGAGTCACTTTTTGTTCTCTGTGCTCCCTCCCAGTTTGGGGGATGGTTTTTCAGTATGATTCTGGGTTTTTCTCATTACAAGGGCTGGGGACCAAGGATTTGCATTTCTAGCAAGTACCCAGGGGATGCTGGTGCTGCTGATTCAAGGGCCATGCTTTGGGAACCACAGGTCTAAAGTAGGGTTCTCAGTCTTTCTCTGTCTACTTTCTATTTCCTTCGATAAACCATTGGCTCTTACTGTATGCCAAACATTGTTCTAAGCACTCTCTGTAAATCAAGTTACTCAGTTTTTACACACTCTTATGAGATACTTTTGTTACCTCCATGCCACACATGAAGGAAGAATCAAGAGGAATTAAGGAAGAATCAAGAGAAATTAAGTCATACCACCCACATCATGTAGCTAGTTAATTGAAGTCCATCTGACCATAAGAGGGACTTTAAATGCTGTGAAGCAACCAGACGGGGTCTATCGGTTGTGGACCTTGGACAAGCCACTTACCTCTGCCTCGGTGTCTTATAAAATGGAGATTATAATAGCACATATGTCATAGGGTTGCTGGGAGGATTAAATAAATCACTTCCCACGGGCTGTTATTATAATTAAGATCTGAAATGTATATGATATCTCAGGGTTCTTCCCTCCCAGCTGCAACATCAATTCCATGAGAATGAGACGTTGTCTTGCTGGTTGCTAGAAACTGGAACAGAACTTGGACTTGGTGCACATTAGACTCTCAATATCCCTTATGTTGCTTTTTGCCAGGTAAACTTTTCTTTTTAGATCAACATTATTAGTGCTTTTGAGATTCAGCTTTTATTGTATTTACATGTGAACATGTAAATATTTTTACTCCCTCCTCCTGGGTCAGGAATTCTCAGCCTTAGCACTATTGAGATTTTGGGCTGAATAATTCTTTGTTGGGGGTGGGGTCGGGGCTATCCAGTGTGTTGCAGGATGATTAGCAGCATCTTTGTTCTCTACTCCCTGGATGCCAGTAGCCACCCCTGCCCCCACCAGTTATCTCCTGGGAACAGAATCACCCCTGCTGAGAACCATTGATCTAGATAATTCAGATGTCTCTAGCTGGCATGTTCTCTCTTTCATGTCCGGTTCAACCAGGAAGTCTTAGTTCTACCAGAACAGTTGAGGCTAGGCGATGAGCGAAGGCCGTGGTACCCACCGAGGAGCAGGTGTCCCTGATAAGTTTCCCTCCTGTGGTTTCCCAGAGAGAGGTCTACAGCACTGACCCAGCCCTCGCCTTAGTGCCCTATGTGATAATCAATGTGTTTTTTACAAGGAATCAGAGAAACCCATCAGACACTGGATATGGCTGTTCCAAATGACCGTATTGGAAGGGTTAAACAGAGCCTCAACACAAAGGCCCTTGAGGATTTCTCTCCACCCTCAAGTTTGAGCCTCAACTCCTGAGACCTCACATTCCAGCCCATTTCTAGGGTATCTGGTACCCTAGAATGGTATAATGTCTATTCCCATCGGAAACAAAGAATCCTTCTAAGGCCTTGCCTTAGTCCTTCCCCTTACCTAGACAAGGCAAAACCCCTGAAAGAGGGACCTTTCCTGAGTCAGAGTTATTAAATCTGCCAGGATACCTAGTGTGAAGTGGAGAAAAGAAAGCATGTGATGAAGACATGCCACCACTTCCTTCCTCCTCCCATCATAGCTTCATTCTGCTCCTAACCACACAGACGGGTAAGTTTCTGAACAAGAATATCTGTGTACACACACCAACACACATGCACACCTACACACACACACACACACGCATACCTCTGGGGAACAAGTAAAATTTTGGGGGGATAGTCTAAGTCCACATTTAGAGAAATTTTTTTCCCTTAAAGGAAACGTGATGAGCAGAGAAGCATGCCACATACAGGGAAATGCTCTTTTATGGGGTCAAGCAGCCCAGTTTCCCTCCCTGTTGCTCCCAAACCTCTCTGTTCCAGAAGGGATTGCTGCTTTACCTTGGCATTACTGAAAGGCTTAGACAAAGAAACTGCTTGACATCAAAGGTGAAATTCAGATCTCTGCCTCCAGAGAAACCAAAAAAGTGTCTGCAACTTTAGCCGTCTTTCTTTCTCACCCACTGCTTGTCTCCAACAAGATTTTAGAAAATCATATGGAGAAAAATGAAGTTATATGCACCAAAAATCCTGCACATCGTTGTTTATAGCAACTTTATTCATAAGTGCATACTTGCCATAACTTGGGAAGCAACCAAGCAAAAAACCAAAATCATTTAATCTAGTTTCAGCCAATAATAACTGAGTAATTATTTACAATTATATCTCAGTTGTAAATAAATGGATGTGCATCCTCTATACGTTAATATGTGCCATAATGCCATCTGCCTTCATAAAACCGTTTTCACGTTTGATTATGTTTTACACTGAAATTTAATAATTAAAGGTCCTCTCCTGTGTTATAAACTACTATTGTTGGTACTCAACCAAAATGAAGAGTTTTGTTCTACGTGCAGAAACAGATCTGGGCTTAATGTTGGTCCCAGCCCCCTCACTGCTGTGGATTTGCTTTGGAATAAAAGTGGATGGAAATCATTTGTCCAGATAAGCAATGGGCTTATCTCCAACCCACTATCAAAAAAGTGTTAAGGATCAGATGGAAATAGCGAAGAGAAAACAGGTTCAGGGAAACATCTAGGCATAATTGGCATTTGTTTTCCTACTGTGTGTGGGTGTTGAAGCTAATTTGTTTGCAGGAACGTGGGGAGAGATAGTGCCTTAGAGTAATTGTTCCTCCTACTACTCTTGGAGTTTTAATTAGCAGATGGGCTCTTTCCCCCACCACCTCTCCAGCTGCTTTCTTTTCACATGACCAAAGGTGTTTTTTTTTAATTTCCATGCATTCAAATCTCAGCTCTGAAAAATGCCCCCTTTCTCATGTAAAGACCTCTAGCAAAGACTCTGGGCCAAGAATGAAAAGATTCCCATAGTCAACAATGATAATAAAGACCACCCAATAACTGCAAGAATCCTGCACAAATGGGTCACACCCCAGGGGCGGGGCTCTGCTGGGTTTGAAGTTCTCACTGGCTTATCTTTCCCGCTGCTGTGCTCTCCTCCCTCCTCCATTAGGAGGGTTGAGGGGATGGAAGCAGGATAGGGTGGGGAAGGAGAGGGAGCACCTGGAGGAGAGTATGTATCTCAGCTGATCTTTTCTGCATTTGAAGCTGCTCACCAGAAGGCAAAATTGGCCAGGAGGGCTATAATGAGGTCGGAAATTAGCCCTCTGGAAGCTGATTTACTCCCTTATTCAGAGCTGCCTGAAGTTCAGGGTAGCCAGAACCAGGCGACTTAGCCCCAGATCCTGTAACTGAACCATCAGCCCTAGAATAACCAGTAGTTGCAATTTCTAACTACAGAGAAGCAAGATTAAAAAGTGCTTTAAAAACAAAATGACTAAAAGTACCCCAAGGCTCATAATTTGGAATGCCAATTAAGAGAAATATAGATTAGAAATATAAATCAAGACAAGATGATACTTGTTTAATATCTAGATAAATAGGATGAATATAGAGAGCCATAAAGAAATATCTTACTCATGTTTTGCCTTTCAGTGAATGATAGCCATAAGGTTTTAGAGAAAAGCATGAAATATTTTGAAAAATGCATGAGTTTAAGTATAATTTCTAAGAAAAATCCCTCACTCACTATCTTAGTTCAGGTTCTGTGATGAAAATGCCAATTCTGCCCAAGATCCTGGGGCAGAAGGTATTCTGATTTCTGGAAGCCCTTGCATTTCATTCCTCTCCAGGAAGTTTCTGAAATGAATTAAATTCTCCAGCTGCAGAGAAAGGCCCTGGTGGTTCCTGTTTCCCTCGTGTGCTGACTGGCAGCGGTAAATGAACTTCAGAATCTGGACAGAGGGAGTAGTACTTTCAAGTTGCCCGGGTTCCGTCAGTGCTCCCTTGCTTTTTCTACCTGCGCGGCTTCTCTTCTGTATTGATCTTTCTTTTTGCTAAAATTTGATTTCCTATGGGTGGTAGGAGAGAGTCGTTACCATGCCTCCTCCTCAGAGTTTCTTTAATGTTTGTAATTTCTGATTCCAGCACATTCCAGGCACATGCTTTTTATCTTACAAAATCTGAACTTTTTTTCTGGACTTTACAGAAATCCAGTCTCTGGATCCCCTTCCTCTAGGCAAACTTAGCTTTCACTTTTTTTTTTTTTTTTTTGAGACAGACTTTTGCTCTTGTTGCTCAGACTGTAGTTCAATGGCGATGATCTCAGCTCACTGCGACTTCCGCCTCCTGGGTTCAAGTGATTCTCCTGCCTCAGCCTCCTGAATAGTTGGGAATACAGGCATGTGCCACCATGACAGGCTAATTTTTGTATTTTTAGTACAGACAGGGTTTCATCATGTTGGCCAGGCTGGTCTCAAAATCCTGACTTCAGGTGATCCACCTGCCTCAGACTCCCAAAGTGCTGGGATTACAGGTTTGAGCCACCACACCTAGCCAACTTTCACCTTTAAAAATACAGTTTGTGCAATGGATTATTTTCCTACAGTGAAAATTTCTTTTGGTCTCTAAGGGTTAAAGAGAAAACAGAAGACTTTCAAGGTTCTTGTTCTTTTTGCTCCCATTGTTCTTTCAGCATCTCCACATACCCAGCAATGATGTGACACAAGGCTTGGTTTGCTGTCACTGAGTGAAGAAAGAAGGGCAGTTCTGGAGCCCAGCAGGTGCAAATGCCAGCCTTGTCACCACCAGGTCACTGGTGCAGTCACTGTGGGCAGGAGGCTTCATTGCTCTGTACTTCGTTCCATGGCCTTCTTGTAGCTCACCTCTCTCCTATAGGGAGTGACTGCCTTGGCACATTCTGTTCCAAAGAGACCTGACGAGCAAGTGCGATGGACGTTTTCCCTTCTTTCCTCTTCTTCCTCCATTCTCCTCCTCTCCTTTTCTTCTCTTTTTTTTTAGGCCATCATAGTTGACACCAAAATCCCCCTTTCAGGACTGAAGGACTGACTTGTCCCTCCCTCTCTGTATTAGTTCATTTTCACACCGCTGATAAACATGTGCCTGAGACTAGGAAAAAAAGAGGTTTAATTGGACTTACATTTCCACATGGCTGGGGAGGCCTCCGAATCATGGCAGGAAGTGAAAAGTACTTCTAACATGGTCGTGGCAAAAGAAAATGAGGAAGAAGCAAAAGCAGAAACCCCTGATGAACCCATAAGATCTCATGAGATGTATTCACTATCATGAAAATAGCATGAGAAAGACTGGCTCTGATGATTCAGTTACCTCCCCCCGGGTCCCTCCCACAACATGTGGGAATTCTGGGAGATACAATTCAAGTTGAGATTTGGGTGGGGACACAGCCAAACCATATCACTTACCTTCTTAGCTGCTGAGAAAGCTTCCACAAACAGCCTTTACACTATCACACATCCTCTTCTGGAATCACCTCAAGCAAGGCCACTGCCTGTTCCAGAAGCAGCCCTCAGCCATAATCAACACAGGGTATAAAGTCCAAGGCCCCAGCCCCAACTTGAGGCTCAGAAGGGTCTGATCAGCTTCAGGACTGCCCAGTAGGGTCAGCTGTGACTTTTGTTGAAACTGTCATGCCTCAGCTTCCCCCTTGGCCCAAATCTTCCTTCATTTCCTGCACACCAGTCCCCATCTCAGTGTCCGTGTCCTAGGGAACCTGACCTACAAGAACCATAATGAAGTAAGATAAAGAAGACACAATTTAATGGACAAAACAAATGTACACGCAACAGGTTCATCATGATACAAGATGGTGACCAACGAAGAGTCATAATTCAGCATTCCATTCAAACAAATTATTCATGGGGAAAAAATCAATGAGGGAAAGTAGTCAGGGGAGGCTTCCTGGAGTAGGCGAAGTGAGAGCTGTTGTTCGTGGGTAGTGAGACTTGAAAAGGAGGAGGAAAAACACTGAGCACTTTAGGTAAGGGAATTGTTTAAGCTATTTGAGAATGAACATTCCGGCGGGGCGTGGTAGCTCATGCCTGTAATCCCAGCACTTTGGAAGGCCAAGGCAGGCAGATAACCAGGTCAAGAGATTGAGACCATCCTGGCCAACATGGTGAAACCCTGTCTCTACTAAAAATACAAAAATTAGCTGGGCATGGTGGCACATGCCTGTAGTCCCAGCTACTCAGGAGGCTGAGGGGGGAAAATTGCTTAAACCCGGGAGACAGAGGTTGCAATGAGCTGAGATTGTGCCACTGCACTCCAGCCTGGTGACAGAAAAAAAAAAAAAGAGAATAAACATTCCAAGTTTGTGACATGGTAAGTTTTATGTGGGCAAAGCAGACAAGTGGTTTGGATAAGCTAGATGTTGGTTAGTTAGATTTGGAAGAATTTTGACAGCTAGGTTGAGATATCTGAGCACCCCCAAGCAGTGGGAACAATGAGACATGCTGGTGCACAAGAGAGACTTGAATTTTATTTAGGTGGAGGTGATGTTGAATAATTGTTTAGGCTGGTTGGCAGAGATTTCTTGATCATACTTGATACCAGTAGTTGAAACAGTCACTCATAATTTAATTTTTTTTTTTTATATAGAGTCTCACTTGGTTACCAGGTGCCAGGCTGGAGTGTAGTGGCATGATCTCGATTCACTGCAACCTCTGCCTCCCAGGTTCAAGCAATACTTCTGCCTCAGCCTCCTGAGTAGCTGGTACCACAGGCGTGCACCACCACAGCCAGCTAATTTTTGTATTTTTTAGTAAAGATGGGGTTTCACCATGTTGGCCAGATGATCTCGATCCCTTGACCTCATGATCCGCTTGCCTTGGCCTCCCAAAGTGCTGGGATTACAGGCATGAGCCACAGTGCCCGGCCAATTTAAAAAAAAAAATCAGTTTTTTTCATTTTGTTGTAAAGTATTCAACACATGAGGTTGGTGTTAGGTTGGTGCAAAATTAATTGTGGTTTTGCTATTAAAAGTAATGGCAAAACCACAATTAATTTTGCACCAACCTAATAGAACAGTGACTCAAGTCTTACAAAGTGTGTGGCTGTTGTAGGAAGTATTGATGGCTCCATTGCAGTGACACATTCCCCTCCCAGCAGTTGGCACATTATGATGGGAGTTTGAGAGAGGGTACTTGGTGGTGCCACCAGATTTTTCCTACTGTGTTTATGTAGAAATATTATTTTAGGAGCTCTATATGATGAGTTAGTGCTGGGACTACACTGAAGGGAGGAAACCTTTTGGGTGACAATTTCCAGGGATCCAGTGGGGAGTGAAAGGAACGTGGACCCAGGCAGGGGCAAAGGGGAAGGACAAGAACAAACATTTCGAGGGAATCAGCTAGATTAATTGGAATTGCCAAAGAGATCTCATTCCTGCCTGACTGAAATTCTAAACACAGAAGATGGCGGTAGTAATGGGGAGTTGGAACTTGGGGCTCCAGGGACTCGCAAACCCCATCCCTTCAGTGGACCCAAAGTGCTGTCACCTGGGAAGGCCCAGAGCAAATCTGTCCCTTTCACTGTTGCTCCCCAATTTATCCCACTTTACATATTTGGGGGAAAATGAACTGACCTCCACAAGGAGGCCACACCCTCTCACTGTGAGTTTCTTTCTCATGAAGGCAAATGGTTTGCCCTGAGCCATTCACAGTCTCTGTAACTTGTGACCAAAGGATGTGAATAGGGCTGTGGATTTGGTGTGTGATGAGGACTTGGTTGGTATCAGAACTGTCCTCATTTGGAGGGTATTCTAGCCCATATGGACAAGAGTCAGCAGCCTTGAACTTGTTAGCATGGTAGCCTCGCTTTCCCGCTTTGCCTTGGGCATCAGGATGTTCAGAGCTGCATTTAATTTGTTTAATTTTTTATTGTGTTTATATATATATATATATATATATATAATATATATACACATATATATACACACATGTATCGTTTATAAACATAAAATTTGCCATTTTAAATATTTTAAAGTGTACAATGGCATTAATTTCATTCACAACATATGCAACCACCACCACTATTCTCAAACATTTTTTATCATCTCAAACAAAAATTGTCTGATCATTAAGCCATAACTCCTCATTTTCCCTTCCCCCAACCCCTGGTAGCCTCTAATTAACTGTATTTTTCTGTGAGTTTTGCCTATTCTAGATACTTCATTTAAGTAAAATTGTATATTTGTCTTTTTGTGTCTATTTTCACTTAGGAAAGTGCTGGCCGGGTGCCGTGGCTCACGCCTATAATCCCAGCACTTTGGGAGGCCGAGGCGGGTGGATCACGAGGTCAAGAGATTGAGACCATTCGGGTCAACATGGTGAAACCCCGTCTCTACTAAAAATACAAAAATTAGCTGGGCATGGTGGTGCTCGCCTGTAGTCCCAGCTACTGAGGCAGGAGAATTGTTGGAACCCAGAAGGCGGAGGTTGCGGTGAGCCGAGATTGCGGCATTGCACCCCAGTCTGGGTAACAACAGCGAAACTCCGTCTCAAAAAAAAAGGAAAGTGTTTTCAAGGTTCATCCATCTTGTAGCATGTCAGAAGTGTCAGAATTTCAACCCTTTTCATCTTCAGTTGAAACATACAAACCTCGTTTTATTTCTGCATTCATCTGTTGATGGACACTTGGGTTGTTTACATCTTTTGGTTATTGTAAATAAGGCTGCAAAGACATAGGCATACAAGTATCTGGTGGAGTCCCCGTTTTCATTTCCTTTGGAGTGGAATTGTTGGGTCATATGGTAATTCTATGTTTAATTTATTGAGGAACTGGTGAACTGTTTCCCACTGCAGCTGCACCATTTTACCTCCCCCAGCAATGTATGAGGATTACAATTTCTTCACATCCTTGCAACATTTGTTATTTTCCATTTGTTCTTTTCTTTTTTTAATTATAGCCATTTCAGTCAGTGCTCGTCGTATCTCACTGTGGCTCATAGTTATTATTTGCATGTATCTTTCCCTTCCTTTGCCATAATTTTATAAATTATTTTATTGTTTATTGTCTTCTTTTTTCATTGTAAATGTTTTTGGAAGTAGGTGAATTTTAAATCATGAATGAAGAAATGAAGAAAAAATATCACAAAGACTTAACGGGACTTTCACTACTTTAAAGGAGCTTATGTTTTGTGTTATGAAGCACTACATCCAAATTGCTCTTCAGCTCCCAGATGATCTTGTCATGAAGGATTTTCTTGTTTTCGCTGTTTTTCTTTTTCAAGTTTCTTATATTTGCCTGTATGGTCCATTGGAGATTTCTCTGTTGCCTGAGCCATATGACAGTTGAACTCATCTACTCAAAAGAGATGCTAGTCCTTATTGTCTATTTTGAGTAACATTTATATTCTGTTGGCAAGATATGAAATGCTTAGTGTATCCTAGGTGAAATGATACAGGTGACAGAAGTCACCACAACCAGTCCCAAACGCATACTCTGTCATGACAAATTCCCAAAACCAATTCTGGAAATTACCTGTTGTTCTTTAAAATATTCGCAGATAAATATTAACCATTATTTTCATTAATGACTTTAGAAAGGGCTAATTATAATGAATCACAGTGGAAAATAACACTTAATTTTCTTTACTGCATGGCTTGAGCATGAAATAGGAGACGGGACAAGACAACCTCTGGATATTGTTTCTAATTCTTTAAAAAGTTGTATTTGCATGTAGGAAAAAAAATTCACAAATTCAAAACCATTTCAAGACAAAATATCCAAGAAAATAGGATTAAAAGGGAACTTCCAGCCAGGTATGGTGGTGGCTCATAATCTCAGCACCTTGGGAGGCTGAGGTGGGTGGATTGCTTAAGCCCAATAGTTTTGAGACCAGACTGGTCAACCTGGCAAAACCCCATCTCTACTAAAAATACAAAATTAGCCAGGTGTGGCTGCCCATGCCTATAATCCCAGCTACTTGGGAGGCTGAGGCACAAGAATCACTTGAACCTGGGAGGTGGAGTTTGCAGTGAGCCAAGATCATGCCTCCAGCCTGGGTGACACAGTGAGACTCCATCTCAAAAAAAGTTGGTGGGGGGACCCTCCTCAACATGATACAGGACCATCGTGGTATATAGAAAACCACAGCCAACATCAGATGCAATGGTGAAAGACTGAAAGCTTTCTCTCTAAGACTAGGAACATGATCAGGATGCCCACTTTTGCTACTTCAGTTAAGCATAGTTCTAGCCACAGCAATTAAGCAATAACTAGAAATAAAAGGCATCCAAATTGGGAAGAAAGAATCAAAACTGTGCTGGCAGATGACATGGTATATATTAGATATAGAAAACCGTAAAGAAGCCATAAAAAATTGTTAGAGCTAATTAATTAAACAAATTTGCAGGATACAAGATCAACACTTAAAAATGAGTTGTATTTTTATACACTAACAATGAACAATTCAAAATAAAATGAAGAAACAATTCTACTTATAATACCATTAAAAAGTATAAAATACATAGGAGTAAATTTAACTAAAAAGGTGCAAGGCTTGTAAATGAAAACTACAAAACATTGCTGAAAGAAATTTTTAAATAACTAAATAAATGAAAAGACACGCTATATTCATGCACTGGAAGATAACATACTATTAAGGTATCAGTACATCTCAAAGCAATCTACAGATTTAACGCAATCCATATCAAAATCACAACAGCCTTTTTTAAATTTTTTCAAAAATAGAAAATACAGTCCTAAAATTTGTATGTAATCTCAAGAACACGGAATAGCCAAAAGAATTTTGCAAAAATAATAAAGTCGAATGACTCATAATTCACAGGTCCAAAAATGACTACAAAGCTATAGTAATCAAAGAAGTGTGGTACTGGCATCAGGATACATATCCACACCAATGGAATAGTACTGAGAGTTCATCAATAAATTCATATGTCAACAGTCAATTGATTTTTGAACAGTGCCAAGACAATTCAATGGGAGAAAGAATACTCTCTTCAACAAATGATTCTGGAACAAATGGATATACGCGTGTAAAAAAATGAAGTTGAATCCTTATCTCACATCTAATGCAAAAATTAACTCAAAATTTATCAAAGACTGAAAGATGAGAGCTAAAACTATACAAATCTTAGGAGATAACATAGAGAAAAACCTTCATGACCTTAGCTTATGCGCTGGTTTCTTAACTATGACACCAAAGGCACAAGCAACAAAAGAAAGAAATGGATAAATTGGGCTTGATCAAAATTTGAAACTTGTGCATCAAAGAAAAAGTTGACAAGTTGTGCACTAGTAAGAAAGTAAAAACACAACCCACAGGATGTGAGAAAATATTTGGAAATTATATATTTGATAAGAGTCTTGTATCCAACATATATGAAGAACTTTTTCAACTCAGCAATTTAAATTACCCAATTTTTAAAAGGGCAAAGGATCTGAATAGATATTTCTTTAAAGAAGATATACAAATGGCCAACACACACCTAAGAAGATAAGTGATATTAGTCATTAGGAAAATGCAAATCAAAACCATGATATCATTTTATACACACTAAGATGACTATAATAAGAAAAATGAAAAATATTAATAACAAATGTTAGCAAAAATGCAAAACAATTGCACCCCTCATGAAATGTAATATATAATGGTGCAGCTGCTGTGAAAAACTGTTTGGCAGTTTGTCAATAAGCTAATCATAGAATTATCATATGACCCAGCAGTTTCACTCTTAGTTATATCCTGAAAAGAACTGAAAAACTTAAACATGAATGCTCATAATAACCAAAATTTGGAAGCAACCCAAATACCCATCTATAGATGGATAAACTAAATGTGTTATATCCATACAATGGAATATTATCAGCTACATAAAGCAATGAAGTACTGATACATGCTATGTCATGAGTGAACCTTGAAGGCTTTATGGTAAGTGAAGGGAGCCAGACACTAAAGACTACCTACTGT